AGTTACCTCATCTTGATAACAGTATTAGAGGGGATAGGACAGAGAGATTTTCTCCTTTAGCATACCTTGGCGATGCTTCTAAAAAGATTAAGTTTCTGCTAGAGAGTCATTTAAATAATTCAAAATTCGTTTCCAAATGTAACAATAAGTTGTTGAAGTCGCGAGGAGTGGTGTGAGATGAGGTAGTTTAGAAAAACACCTTTTTTATTTTTTGGGCGACGTTTCAACCTTTATATATATAAAAACAGTGTTTTTCTAAACAACCTCATGCTTGACCGCATCTCACGACTTCAACAAATTATGAAACAACCGGTCTCTAAGAAACACAATAAGATGCGTAAGAAGATTCTCACAAAAATAAAGTGTGTTGATCCGCCTTTAAGATTGTCCAGCGTGGTTTACTCTATCCCGTGTACATATTGCTCCCTGATTTACTAAGGTCAGGCCAAACAATACCTCGATACCAGGTTGACCCAGCACAGATATGATTGTTTTGACGTCAGTAGGCCAGGAACAGCTTTGTCAAAGCATCATCATGAAACTAATCATGAAATAAACTTTAATGAAGTGGATGTGGTTGACAGGGAGAAAATCATGGTCAGAAGATTATCAAAAGAAATCTCACATATTAAATCTGACGTTAGTTCACTAAACTTGAGAAGTGATATCAACTTAGCGCCCTCTACAGTTGTCTAATTTAGTCCTTTCTATCTGTGATGTGTCATTCTGTGTCTATAACTACAATTGGTTACCTCTGATTTGTCTACATACATATTGTTGTTTTCTATTGTTATCATTATAAAGGTGTAATTACTTGTAGAGCTTTGATGAAGACCTCAATAAAGGTTGAAAGCTTGGCATAAGTTGCAAAACTTACAAAACAAATCATACATAATTTAACAATGAGCAGATAATTATTCAGAAATCGTGAGATGCGGTCTGGTGTGATGTAGGTTTCAGAAAAACATTTTCTTTATCGTGCCAACGTTTCGATCTTTATTGAGANGGCACGATAAAGAAAATGTTTTTCTGAAACCTACATCACACCAGACCGCATCTCACGATTTCTGAATAATTATCGATTAACGGTCACTAATCACCACAAATGAGCAGATAGTTAAAGTTATCGTTTTATATTTCAGTCTGCTACGCATGTTCTATAGGATAGAAAGTAATCACTCGAAGTGCTTCGAAGGATCCGGTATGTTTAATGACGGATGGGCCTATCATAACAGCAGTTACTTCAAACTTTCATAGTTGCCCCATTTATGTTTATTTATCGTGGTACTGAATAAATCTGAAGTCTTCTCTATCTATTCTTCAACCTCGTATTTTAGTCTATAAACAAAATTCTCTTCTTTCTTCGGCGTAAAAACATCGCGAGTCGTTTGCCTTTGCAGCTCCTAACTTTAGAAGCGTAAAAGAATTCTTAAAACGAAAATGTTCTTTGTTTCTCCGACAAGTTGCGCAGAGATAAAAAAAAGAAAGAATATGAAAGCGAGGCGAAAAATATGTAGGAATTTTTTGACAGATAGCCCGGCTATAGGTATTTTATGTTACTAAGTTCACTCCACATACATCCAGTTGCCACTTATTCGCGCACTTATACTCGAAGCCCCGTGAGTATAAATCAGCAAACTCATTCCCAAACTCTCGTGCCCCGGCCCGAATACAACGAGTTATTTTCATAATATTCCGCTAGAAGGAGATCACGGCGGACCTTTTCATATTTTCCATCAATTGTTACAATCCGTCTGGGGCAAGGGGATTCCGGAGGAAGGGATTAGCAGGATTCCCATCGTGACAAAAAACCTCCCTTTCTTTACCAAAGGGGCAGGGACCAACAAATCAACGCGGGCACCTCTTAAACCTTTTTAAATGTATTACCTTCAGAACTACCTTTGACCTGATTTACTTTTTTGTACAACGACTATTTCTGTTCAAATATCAAGCCAATATTTCATGAATTGATTATTATTATTTTTTACAATTAATTAAGGTTTTTAGTTGAGATAAAAAAGTCAATGGCACGAGCGGGATTCGAACCCACGATCTTCGGCTAGATACGCCGCTGTTCTACCACTTGAGCTATCGTGACCTCGATCCACTCGGACACACTAACTTCCCATCTCAACCCCACCTTTTGAATTTTCCCTCCTTTTTGCCATTTTTCAAATGTCGTGGGTGTCAAATGAAATGGGAAGTTAGTGTCCGAGTGGATCGAGGTCACGATAGTTCAAGTGGTAGAGCAGCGGCGTAACTAGCCGAAGATCGTGGGTTCGAATCCCACTCGTGCCATTGACTTTTTTGTCTCAACTAAAAACCTTAATTAATTGTAATATATTAATTGGTCAAGCGGACCACGAAATCAGTGAATTTAATTATTTATTGCCATATTTATTATTATTTATTAGCAATCTTATATATAGGTTAATAGACATAATTAGTTATTTTTTATTTACTACAGCAAGTGCGTTTAAACCACAATCATCAACCAAGTTAGAAAATTTGGCCGAACCAAAAAATTAATTAGTAGTTAGCATATATATTTCAGTTGAAAAATAAGTTGGTAAACAATTCAAAATATACCTGTTCTAGATCTGGGTTTTGGAATTTAAAGTGCAATGGTTGTAATGTTGATTAATTCAAAGACCATAATTGCTGATAAAGATGTTTACAATATATTCTATAAGATAAATATATCACTGTTCAAAACAGAAAAGTGCTCTCCAAATTTCAAAATTACACTTGAAGTATCCACGAGTAAAATGTTACATGTAACAAAAAAATACAGTTACACATTTTCTTCAATATATGCTCGCTGGATCATAAGTGATGTAAGTACGAAGAAATCGAAAGTGGGCTTAGACTATAAAAATTAAAATTCAGGTGGCGCGTGCGAACATCTTTCAAACCGCCATTATGAAATCAAAATGGAAAAGTTATACTTTCGTCAACACATTGTAATATGATGGTTGCAAACTTGGTACTGTATTTTATTAATTTTTAGGGTTGAAGAAGTCTCATTTCAGCTTTGAATATAAAAGAGCATTGTAATATATACGGCTTCCTCTTAGACAAGTCCCAAATCTTAAAATTCGTGATATATATTTTTTTAAATAGCGTTAGGTTTCCTTCATATAAGCCAGAGGATACTATGTTTATTGATTTATAATTTTCGTCGGGTGAGGGGAAGGAGAGCGTGAAAAAAATGCCTGAGGCGACGGTAGGAATCGAACCCATGACCGCGGGACTACGAGCTGAAGTCATTCACGCTAACTACTCGGTTGTATGTATATTTTAGGGCAAAGAAAGATGTTACTATTATTTAAGCGATTGGCTTAGGCTTTAGTATGTCATGCTCACAACATAAGTTTTCTATGACAATTATGAGCAAGAAATTCATTAAAACGAGTTGATCGTTGTGAAGATTCTTGATTTGTTTGTTAATTTTTTAAAATAGTGAATTTTAAATTTTGACCAACAACCTAAATTTGTGATACAATTTTACACATTCTTTATATCATATAAAAATAATCATTTACTACAATTGTCCTACAAATAGCAATTCATTCAAAATGATGAAGGGTTTTGGAGAAAAGTATTCAGCAAGGTTAAAAAATAAAGCTTTTCAATTTTTTTTATTTTTTATTAAGGTCTTAATTTTCCCCGTTGCCGCCAGGTTTACGCAATACAACTGTTATACGCCGATTCCTCTTGGAAAACGGAGGTTTGCTAAAAGATGTTTTAGACAAAAAGTTAATTTTTTGAGACAAAATATTCATAAAATGGGTCTTTAAATAATAAGAAGAAAGCTTGATTCGCAACTTTCAAAGAAATATTTTAATCACTTATCAACCCGGGAACTTCATGTGAATATTTCATTCTATCCAATGAAGGTTGTGGTTCAAGTATATAAAATTGCGCGTAAGTGGTAATGTTGGTACTGGGTTGTATAGGAAAATCACCAGTATAAATGGTATAAAGGATGAGACTAAGAATGCTCCCTTGTGAGACGAGGTTGCTTGAACCTTAAAAAAAATTCATGAAAAATCCAAACCATTTTATGCACAGTATTGTTTAGAGATTGATAAAACCTTTTATCAATATCACGCTAAGTGAAGTCTTGATTTTAACAATCTAAGAATTCGTACTATAATTGAATTATTTTTTGTCATTATATCCAGATGAAAGTCAAGGTGTTATTAATAAGTAATTATGCGTACTTCTAAAAAACTATACTCGTCTAAACCATTTGGAAAATTAAACATAATTAAATTTGTTTAACATAATTAAACCATTTATCAGAAGTTTTTTCGTCGTTTCCTGGTATAGATAAAATTTTGAACACGAAAATACTATGTTTGAACTTTTCCCTATTCATAAAACAACCAAAAACTAAATAGCTTAACAAACTGTATATAAAACCTGTAAATTTGAAAAGTTATTACAAATTTTCCGGTATTAATTTGCCTTTGAAGCTTATTTTTACCGAAAGCATATCGATTAACGGTCACTATCTCTACTCAATACTAGTAACTATTAACAATATAGTTAAGCTTTATAAAAGTGTTTCTTGTTTGACCTGGTACACTAATTTCATTTGTTTCTGCAATTGGATATGTTTTTGAAGTTTATTTTAATTTTCAATTATATCGTGGAAGATCGATACCGATTTCTGTTTATTTTCTGGCATTAATCAATGTTTTAAATGCTGCTTTAATTGCAAACCGACTAGAAACCATTCTTGCGCGAAATGTTTGAAACATTGGAATAATTAATGTTTTTACTCTGCACACAAATTGTATTCATAACAGGATAAAATTTGTTTTTCAATATCTCAATAATTCTGAAATGGCCTTGATCAAAATCTGTCAATTCTCTGATTGTTTACTGTTGAAAAACTGGAATGAAAAGTATATGTCGGACTACTTGAAATTTGGTCGTTATTGATCATTTTGGTCTCTCAGATGCGTCTCTTTGAGGATAGAAAGACTAAAATGACCAATAATGATCATAATGTTGTAACCCTAGAGGTCAAATTTTTATATCAAATACAGTCTGGCGCTGGCCCGAAGAGAGAGGGGAAGGCCAAAAAGGAGTTCATCCACCTCATCGCCTCAGAGGCCAATGAAATTTGTAACCAGAGCAAAAAAGAGACTATTAATGTAAAGCATGTCCTATTCGCCCTTGACAGATTGGGGTTTGACGATTATCGGGTTGTGGCTGAGGATGTACTCAAGGATTGTAAGGAGGTAGAGGTTAAGAAGAGGAGACAGAGCACCAGGCTCGAAAATCTCGGAATACCCGAGGAAGAGTTGCTGCGTCAACAACAGAAGCTGTTTGCAATGGCTAGAGAGAGCAACAACAATGGCTGCAACTTCAACAAGCGACCAAAATAGTGAATATGCAAAACACTGCTGATGAAAGCGATCCCGATGATTATTCTTAATTTCACCATTAAAATGTTTGTGTGATGTAAATGGTTAGGGATGGTTAGGGATGATGCTGAGATTTTTATCAATTAAAAAAAAACAAAAAAAAAACATTAAATTATTTATTTTCTAGTTTTTGTTTCAAACTGAACCTTCATTATGGACAATTTTTTTTCAACAAACTGATTTATTAAAATATCCGTTGTAAATAATAAATGACATTGAAGATATCTTTTTAATAGCTTTTAATTTTTGAGCTATGTATGTTCAATGTTATCAATTTTGATATATTATTTTTAGATTGATATTTTATCTTTTGAAAAAACGTATGCACATAATTTTTTTTATGACTGAAAACAAACATTTTGTATTACACCTATATGTAATTGTAATTTTAAAGATGGCAATTGAATAAATTTATATCCTGAAAAATACAATAATTTTTAACGTCAAAAAAAAAATTTGTAATGAAACGTGCTGTTGTACATTAAAACAAAATCTTCGAAAGTCTTTTTTAATGAATGTTACCTTCTGTCCTAAAATAAACATTTATTAAGGGGGACTTATCTTGATGGAGTTATATATTTTAATAAAAAAAAATTTCATTGTACTTGAGAAGTGATATAATGTATTCTATAAGAATGACAAGATTCCTTGAATTCTTTTTTTTTAAACTAAACAAACAAACAAAAACACCTAACATACAAAGGTACATGTGCCATGAGCAAAATTTCAGAAAACTATGTACATACGTGCTTGCTATACGTAAATAGCATCTTTTGAATATCTTACATTAATTTAATTAGGGAAAGATTACAAGTTAAAATTGATGGTTGATAATTGTATTGGATAATTGTACGTACGTTGATAATATTGGTCTCCAATGTGTGAAACGAGTCTTCTTGTTTGATACTGAACCCAGTTTGATGTCTGAAGAAGTGCCAATAATCAGCTCCCCAAAAAAAGTCCTGCCTTCATCCGGTACCGGTCATAACTCCTCTTTGTCCTTCCCCTCTCTCTCTTCGGGCCAGCGCCACACTGTATTTGTTATAAATGCACAAAACCCAAACAAAATCCTACAGCACTGGCTACCCACCATTTTGAACTATTACACACAGAACAAAACAAACATAAACGTAGCTTCTTAGAAATGGTTTACATCAGCAGGATAAACACAGCTAAAAAAAATTAATCAAATTCAATATCGATAACATACATATATCATCACATCACACAAAACATATCATATAACATATAAATGGATTATCACATTCCGTACATCAAACATTTCTTCATAGACTAATTCTTCAACAATTTGGCTTTTCTTTCTTTAATCATCCGCGTCTATATCTTCCTGAAAGGATAATTAGGCCGAACCATTACCCATTTTTTCCCATTGTCGGCTCCTTTCACCTCAAAGAATCCGACTCCACATATAAAAATGTCTTTCTATCCCGACTTCCTTCCCCACCCCTTCAAACTCCAACGTATATAGACATAAAACATGTCACACTTGCTCTCTCAACACGACAAACAAGAATGACACATCTACACAGAAAACAAACACTTTGAGTGAATACAAATAATTTAATTGAATCTAAAATTTTTAGCATTGTATAAATTCATTTTTTCACATCCTACATATATTTGTATAATTTAAACAATGTTTATAAATCCCAGGCCCTGAAAATGATCTCAATAAAGAACGAAACGTTAGCGCGATAATAAACATTTTTCTAAAACCTACGTCACACCAGACCGCATCTCACGATCTCGAAATAATCTTTACTAATTTTAACCCAAGCGATTACTTGTTTTCCTCCTAAGAAATCGAACCGTCACTTTCACACAAACTGTGTGGCATTGACAAACGATCATTGGGATTTTCAATTCTGTTCCTGTCCTACTGGTACAAACAGTGTATTTGCGTCTATATTTTAATCAAAAGTAGACACGACCACGTTTGGCTAGAACCTGCTACATCGTTGTCAATTGGTCCCTTGGCGCACGGGACGAAATTATAAACACTTTGACAGTACATTCATCATTTGAGTTTGAAACAAAAAAAAGTTGTTTCTTTGTTTCAATGACAAAAGTTGACCCTTCCAATTTCTTGGATCTCATTACATTTCATATTATTCAAACTGAGTTTTATTTTATTCAGAAGTGAAGCTCAATCTATTTTCAAATTGCTTTTTAATGAAAAGGGGGTTGGTTTAAAAACAGTAAATTAAAAGTTGAAAATCATTCGTCTAAAATAATCTCGAATAATCACATTAACAATAACAATGAATTATAATTTAAAGGTTATTCGATACCATTCTGCGGTCCGGTGGAGAGGGAATTATATTTTAAATTATTATTATTACTAATTCGTTACAATGGCTTGTTTATACCACGATTCGATCTTCGTTACAACAAAGATACAAAAGGACTCTCGAACCACCCAACTGCGACAATTCAATGAAGAGCTTATTATATTTACGATTTAGATAAAACGTGCTTGAATGATTTCAAAGGATCTTTTGTAAATCGGACGTCCTTTTATTTGTTCGTATACAGGATACGATGACCAATATTTCTCTCAAATCATTTTCATAATTTTAGAAAGATTCGTGTTTTGAACGTTGTATAAACAAGTTTACACATCATTTGTTTTCTTGAAAAACTGCAATGTCTTCTTCTCTTTTCAACTATTTATCTTTTTACATACGTCTTTCGTTCGTATATGTGTAAAAATGATAAATGCATGTACATCGTTTCTGTGTTTTTTCTCTTTCTTCTTTCTTTTCATGATTTCTGAAGGAAAAAATCTACTGGTTACTTTGAATATCAACTCTATGTAGTCGATAGAATGGCAAAAGGCCCGAAACGATTACAACGAGACCAGCATCCCACGAAGACATGAATAAAACATGAACAAACGAAAAAATATTAAAAAAGGAAGAAAAAGAAAACAATAAACGATGAACAAGAGTATCATTTTCGGGGTTGTTAAAAGGTTTATAAATCGGTATTTCGTTGTAAAAACGAGTATACACAAACACAAATGTAAATAATAGAACGATTTTCAAGGATGCAATTTTGAAAAATTTTGGAAATTAAATAAATCTTATTCAATACACATTTACAGATAGAAAAATAGAGAGAGAAGCACTAGCAGGATATGCAAACTACACATGTAATAAATTACATGCGACATACGAATAGATAGAGGGAGAAAATCAAGGAGAAAGAAACACAGAAAGAGGGGTAGAGAAAAGGGTGAGTGAAAATAAAAATTCGACCGACAAAGAGGTAGAAAGATATATTGGGAAGCATACACATTAATTAAGCAATTGTCATCGTAATGATGTTCTTAAAAAATCTTCAATTTTATTTTACTTCTCAATTTGTAACATTAGATATTTCGTTGAAATTTTCCACGGGAAAAGGTACCAATTTGAAGGAGCTGTGCCGGATGAATACACAGGATGAGGTAGACCGAGGAACGACGAAATACGAAGCCTCGACTTTTCAAGGATGAAAACGACTCCACTTATGCAAGCCGGTTTTCCTCAAGTTCGGTATTTTGTATCATTGACCGTCAAGTAGTAAAAAAAACTTATTATAAAATAACTTCTCTAGAGAGAAATATATTCTTTTAGTTCATTAAGTAAATATTTAGAAATAAAATTTTTTTTTTATAGAATTTACTTTTTATAAAATATCATTGATATGCATTATTTGTTTGTTAATAGTACATTTAAAATTCTGCCAACCCAGGCATCACCAGCTGGCACTAGCTAATATAACTACAAATATATCGAGACGGTTACGCAAATTTATGCGAACGTGAAACTAAGACCCCTAGAGTTCTATTTATTTATTTAATAGAAGAGGGTCGGTTGAAAGCTCTGGCAAAGCAGCCCTTTAGAATTATATTGCTTCCAGTTTCACTGTATCCTAAATATCGCTTAAATTTGGTATTTTTAATCATACCTAAAAATGGTACTGATTATGGTATTAATTATGAATACTAATAAGGTTCGATTACTTATTTTACTTTACTATCCACCTAGTTTCTTTGGTGATTAAACGAACGGTTTTTTTTCTGCAGATTCTTAATGTCCTTCTTTAGAGGGTTGTTCAGTCAATTCTTTGGGCTATTTAATATTCAAAGATGGTTTCTGCGGAGTGAGAGTAACCCAGTAGAGATGAGGGGTGTTTGATCATTCACTTAAGACATTTGGTCCTTGTTAAATATCCGTTTGTGTTTTTCGTTCAGAAAGCAGTAATACGATATAAATTGTTTAAACTAAAACTGGATTACCCTGCCAATAGAATTTTTTGTCAAATTTTACGTCTGGAAAGACAAGGTAATATTCTCGGTACAAGGACAGTACATGGAACATATTAATGTCAAAATTCACTAATTTCGTGGTCCGCTTGACCAATTAAACATTACAATTAATTAAGGTTTTTAGTTGAGATGAAAAAAAGTTAATGGTACGAGAGGGATTCGAACCCACGACCTTCGGCTAGATACGCCGCTGCTCTACCACCTGAGCTATCGTAACCTCGATCCACTCGGACATCAACTCCCCATCTCAACCCCCACCTTATGAGTTTTCCCTCCTTTTGGATGGTTTGGTAAACAAACATGTTTAATTGGTCAAGCGGACCACGAAATTAGTGAATTTAATGAATTAACTGAAGTACACTTCACTAAAGCTCTCCGTCGCCATTTCAATTGTCCTCGAGAATCCAAACCGATTACACGACATTTGAAAAATGGCAAAAAGGAGGGAAAATTCAAAAGGTGGGGTTGAGATGGGAAGTTAGTGTCCGAGTGGATCGAGGTCACGATAGCTCAAGTGGTAGAACAGCGGCGTATCTAGCCGAAGATCGGGGTTCGAATCCCGCTCGTGCCATTGACTTTTTTATCTCAACTAAAAACCTTAATTAATTTTAATGTCAAAAGTTCA